GCCATTCTTCCTGGTAGTTGGGCACTTTACCCTGATGTTAGCAGTGCTGACATGAGGAAAATGGGCATCTTAGGGGCCATGAGAATAAATAGGAATACGAAGCAGCTATTCCACTCCAGACGTGGACAGCAAAGCAAGGAAGCTCTAGGAGCGCTAGGCTCTGCCGTGTAGGACTCTGATCCTAGGGTCTGGGGCCCTGGCTCCAAGAGATGGTACAGGCAGAGAACAAGGCAGAGGTGAGTGAGCAAAGATCAAGATGGTGTGGTGGGAGCTCAGTCCAGGAGAGAGGGGGGCTGTTCTAAACCTTAACAGAGACCAAATCAGAGGTGTGACATGACAGCCTGAGATTTGTTCAGGAAGTGCTCTTAGTAGGCATGGAGGAAGGGAAGCAAGAGCGAGCCCGGGAGAAGCTAAGCAGAGAAGCGTGTGTTGCATTGATCTGGCTCCCACCAAGACTGCTGGCCCCTAAATTCCACCACCTCCCAGTTCAATCCCACAAGAGGCTTCCTCTGAGAACAGGGCAGCTCTGGGCACCACCCCCCAGTAGCTAGGGAACAGTACATGATCCTGGAAAAGAGACCCCAGAACCTGAGTTCTCAAGGAAGGCTTCCTGAAAGAATTGCCATTGAGGTCAAGCCTGGTGGGAGCCATGGTGAGTGCTGACCTGTGAGTCAAGGCAGGAGTAGCTGGGAAATCACGAGGTGGGAGAACAGGAGTCATGGGGAGCCTCAGGTGGTTTGGCTGTGTGCGGCTGGGGCTGGGAAATGGGGTAGAGCTGGTCCGTGCTAGAAATGTGACTGTTGAACAGTCTGGCTCAGCTGCAGGGAGCACCTGCAAAGAAGGGTAACCACCTGCTGGCAGTGATCTGTCAGGATCTGTGACACGATGACGGCCAACACTTGCACGACTTCCTGAGTGCCAGGCCCTGTTTTAGGTTCTTCCTTATCACCTGTCCTCCCTCCGTTTGCAGTAGAGGAAACGAAGTTGTTAAATCACTTGTTCAAGGTCATCCAGCAAGTGCAAGCCAAGGTTTATACTCAGGTCTCGGCTTGTTTGCTTAGCCTGAACCTTCCTCTGCCTATGGGATGCATCAGGATCGTTCTTCTGGAATGAGAACGCCCCCAAGGGATCTCTGGGGATCCCGGCCCACGACCAGTTTTAGAAGGTGACCGGGGCCAATCTGCATAGGAGGGAGGGGGAGAGGCCTTAGGGAAGCTGGCAGCTCTGGGTGCTTCTGCCCATGACCCTCCCTGGCAGCCACACCTGTTTTGTCCTTTTCCCTTCACTGAGCCAGACGTCTGTCCTGGAGTGACAGCAGCAACTGGGGGCTTTTGCAAAGGCTCCTTCTTGGGCCTGACAAAGGCCCTCACTCAGGACCTGGCCTGGGCCTGCCAGTGGAGGGGGCGGCACGTGGGAGGGCCAAAGGCAGCAGACAGCTGTGGGCTGGTGTGGCTGGTCCGGCTGGCCCAAGAACAGGTGAAGCAGTTATGCAGAGAGGAGGAAGGTCCCCAGAGACTTCCAGGCAGCGCTGGGCCTTCTCAGCACACAGCAGGATCACCACAGCCTGACCAGGGTGATTCTGAACTCTGGCTGTGTCTGAAAGGATCTGGCAGGGAGGCGCGAGGGGGAGGCACAGCTGTCAGAGGGGTGCTCCCTCTGGGCCCTGGGAGCTGCAAGGACACAGACCAGTGGAGAGAGGGATACCCTGGAGGACGCCACAGCCACCAGCCGGATGCCCAACAGAGTGTCTGCTGAAATAATGGAGGCTGATGTAGTCTTCTTAGGAAAGGCATTCCCGCATGCATCTAGAGTCTTGAGAAACAGGAAGCACAGGGAGAATAGTGAAGCCAGTAACAACCACGCCCCCTGCGTACACACAGCATGATACAATCAGAAAGCAGCTTTTTAACCGTCCAGTCCTTTCAGACCACTTAGAAAGTGGGCATTTAGGGGTCCGGCACGGTAGCCTACTAGCTAAAATCCTCACCTTGCAAGTGCCAGGATCCCATATGGCACCAGTTCTAATTCTGGCAGCTCCGCTTCCCATCCAGCTCCCTGCCTGTGGTCTGGGACAGGACAGCCCAAAGTTTTGGAACCCTGCACCTACGTGGGAGACCCAGAAGAGGATCCAGTTTCCTGGTTTTCAGATCGACGTAGCTCCGGCCATTGCGGCCACTTAGGGAATGAATCATTGGATGGAGGATCTTCCTCTCTGTCTCTCCTCATCTCTATATATCTGAGTTTCCAATAAAAATAAAATAAATCTTTAAAAAAGAAGGTGGACATTTATTTTAAAGATATATTTACTTTTATTTGTAAGGCAGTCACAGAGAGAGTCTTCAGCCACTGGTTCACTCCCCACATGGCCACAACAGCTAGGGCTGCACCAGACTGAAGCCAGGAGCTTTTCCTCTGGGTCTTTCACATGGGTACAGGAGCCCAAACACTTGAGCCATTGTGTGCTGCTTTCCCAGACATATTAGCAGGAATCTTGATGGGAAGTGGAGTAGCTAGGACTTGAACCGGTACCCATATGGGATGCTGGCACTGTATGGATAGGGCAGTGGCACTACCTATTAAGCCACAGCATTGTCCCCAACGTAGTGTCATTCAGCACACACGACAGCACCTCTGTCGTGGGCCTTGAAGGCAAAACTCCAAAGGTTAGTGACAACGTTCTGAAGAGAGATCCTGCAGCATTTTGCTCAGGCAGAGCACACATTCAGCCTCAGTTCCCAGTTCTTTCCACAACTTACTTTTGCTGTAACAGTAGGTAAGGAGGCCCCAGAGGAAGTCCCTTTATATTCTGCTAAGGGAAGTGACCACAGGGATACGAAATCATAAGGAACCTGGCGTTGTGACTTGGGAGGGCCTCAGCAGTGGCTTTGTTCCCAGTTCTCCAGTCTGGGAAGCCCACCTCATGTGCCGGCCTCAGTGGAGGGGGCCTGCTAGAGGAGGGCCAGGGCTGTAGGACAGGTATGGAGGCATGAGGCTGCGAGAACACTTTTATTTATTTATTTTTAAGATGTACTTATTTATTTGAAAGGTAGAGAGTTACAGAGGTCGGTTACACTCTCCAGATGGCCACAATGACCAGAGGCCACCATCCAGGTCTCCCACATGAGTGGGTGGCAGGGATCTGAATGCTTGGGTCGTCCTTCACTGCTTTCCCAGCGTGTTAGAGGAACTTGGAACAGCTGGGACTTGAACTGGCTCTCACATGGGATGTTGGCGTCTGTGCGGGCGATGGATTAACTTGCTGAGCCACAACAGTACCCACAGAGAGGGCAGCAGAAAAGTGTATGGAGGGGCTGTGGGTGGGCAGTGAGAACCTGTCTTTTTGAAGTCCCCTCTTCCCTCATAACTGTGTCAAGGACCTTGCAATACACTGCTACAGGAAGGTTTTTTTTTTTTTTTTTTTATGATCTGGATGCTTGGAGATGCCCCCCTCCCAAGGACAGTAAGTGTGCAGGGGTGTGGCTCTGTCCCCACAGGAGCCCCGTACTCTCTGCACCTTTTCCTCTCTGCATTTTGTAAAGAGGGATGCTCAGAGCGTAAAGGGTGAGGTCCCTGGAACACTTGCCCCTACTCAGAAGAATCCTCCTTGGCGGCAGCCAGAGGAGGCAGGCAGAGAAGGCACTGGTGCTTCTAAAACCAGACTTTCACTTCACACATCGGGTGATTCTGCACTGTCATATCTACAGCAAAGCTGACCTCCAGGGCTTTCCCAGAAGGCTTGCAGGTGGTTTTTTTTCTTTTTCTTTTCTTTTCTTTTTTTTTTTTAAACACATCTTCATCTGCCTACTTTGGGAGGGACTTGGCTCCAAATCCGGCAGACAGCTAGCTTGTACAAGCTGGGATGAGGGATGTGCACCCGCTAAAGTGAGTAGGGCTCCTCCAGGCCCACTCACTGTGCTGCTTCCCATGGCCAGGCCACCCTCACCCTCTTCCCCCTGCAAAAGCTCGGTGCAGGGAGGAAGTCCTGGCGGGACAAGCCAAAGGTGTGCCCTCTCAAATGGCTCCTGCCTGTTCCTGGGAATGTGCTGCCAAGTGGGGTTTTCTGCTTGTTTGGGAACAGTCCCTGGGCTGCCCTGTACTAGCTGAACCCCCACTTCCCAGGACAGGGGGTATTCTGGGCCCTCAAGGCAGCCTAGGGTCACTGCCGGTATACAGAGGGATCTGGGAGCAAGTGGGCTTGAAAGACCCTGTTGGTTCTGCTTATGCTTTCCGACTTGGCTGAGCTGTCAGCAGGACAGAAACCAGGGGTGTTGGAGGGGGAAGCAGAACGCCTTTGTATCATGCCTCTGCCAGGAGTCGCGAGAGGCTGGCACTCCTGGGGGGCGCTGCTTGCCCAGTGTCCCAGTTCTGTGCTTGGCTTGCAGCCTTCCTTGGGCAGCCTTCCTCCAAGGGAGGCCAGAAGAGCAGCAGGGAGGTGGCCGATGATTGGTTTGCCCTGTGACCTCATGCGAGTCACGTAGCCTAGTTGAACCTCCATGTTCTCACACACGGAGAGAGAAGGTAGACACACACAAAGGCTTGGTGGGGGTAGCATGCTGAGGCCCTCCTGGGTGTCCCAGAGGTTCAGACCTTGTAGTGGGGAGGAGGGCTCCCCAACTTCCCTGTTCATTCTTCACAATCACAGGCTCATGGCTCTTAAACCAGAAGGTGTTTGCAGAGGTCAGCTGGTCAAGTCCCACGGCATACTAATCTGTATTCTGTAGATAAGACTGTGCTGAGGGGTCATTACTTGCACGTATCTATCATAACATGGTGCAAGAGGGTTAAAATAAGCCCCTTTCCTCGGGTCGCTGTGACCTCTAGGTGCACCTGGCTGGCAGAGGGTTGGGAGAGGACAGCAAAGCCAAGCCCCCTGGGTGCAGGTTTTACAAGACAACAGGTTGGTGTGGTCCACTCACCTAGGGAGGGCTGCCGTGGGTGGAGGCTGGGGAGAGGCTCTAGTGCTGCAGGCCTGGGGTAGGGATGAGGGTTTGGGGAGTGACAAGATCCTAGCCCACTGCCCCTTCCCTTCTCCTAGAGGGGCACCTGACCTCCATCCACCTCGTCCTGGCCCTGCCCCTCCACTTCCCCAGGACAGGCCACAGGGGAAACGTGGCTGCCAGGACACAGCGTATTCTTCAGTGGTTTTTCCTTCAAAGGAAAATCTCCTTGTGACTCATCTCCCTGGAAAACAAACAAAAAAAAATCGCCAAAACACATGGAAGAACCAGGCTCCCTCCCCTGACCTCCCTGTGGCCTTGCAGGAGCCTCCTGACCTGCCCTGCTGGCTGCTTCCCATCTTCCCACCATGGGGGTTGGGGAGGGGGGGAAACAGCCGACTTGGGATTGGGGATATTTAGAGGAAACAGGGAGGAATGGGGGAAGGGTGAACTGGAGCTTCCCAGCTCTGGCCCTGGGTGCTAGAGTTAAACCCAGGAGTTTGCATCGCCCAAGCATTGAGAATGTGGGGTCCTCCTGGGGGACCGAGGCTTTTCCCCAACAGCCTTAACATCCGGTGCCCTTGGTGGATGCTGGTGACTGCAGAAAGTGAAACTCGGGGAGGCTCTTAGGGAGCTCGCTCGAGAGGACTAGGCAGGATTTCCCTTTCCAAGCCCCTAGAGCGTTCTTTGTGGAGCAAAGCGACGTGTGCCCTCTCCAACGCGCGCGCGCGCGCACACACACACACACACACACACACTTTCCTGGCAAGCTCCAGAGCTTTGCAAACATTTCGTCACCGGCTCTTCCTGACCTTGGTGTGCAAGGAACGAACCGCGTGGCCTGTTGGTCCCAGCAAAGCCGTCGGGGGCGTGGGGGCCCGGCTGGGGTGGGGGAGGGCGGCGACCGGCTGGAGAGTGGAGGTGAGGTCTGCTGGAAATCCCCAGCCCGCGCCGCCGCCGCCGGGAGGTTTGAAGACGCCTTCCCCGGCCTTATTTGGTCGCAGGAAGTGGGCGGTGCCGGGCGTCCAGGCGGAGAGGCCGGCTGGAGACGGTTGTGCTGATGAAGTGGGAGAGCGGGTTCCTGCTCGCCGCGGTGCCGCGCGCGCCTGCCGGCCGCTGGGCGCTCCGCGCTCCCAGCCCCGAGTTGTGCAATCCTTTGTAGCACGCCAGAGAGTCCTCCTCCTGCGCTGTTGCCTCTCGCCCTCTCTCTCTCTCTCTCCTTTTTTTCAAGCTGTGAGCTCAACCGATGAGTCAGAGCCGTGCAATCCTGACACTGCATCGCAGGACTGGGGGTGACACGGAGGGAGGGAGAGCGCTCGCGAGGCGGCCAGCACGGGCGCGGGGCGCGCCGAGTTCCTGCGCTGCGAGCTGGGGGATGACAAACCCGCTCGTCCCGCCCGGGTCCTGCCTGCAAACTTCCCAGCCTTGAGAGGGAGGCGCGGGTTGGCGGAAACCCCGAGAGCACCGCGGGGAGGCGACGGCGCCTGTTTGTTTTTAAAATCCGGGAGTGCGTGCAAGCAAGCGGGCTTGGAGTCCCGTAGGCCACCGAAGGCGGCGGGGAGGGAGAAGACTACCGAGGCCGGACTGGGGTAAGTGGGGCTGCCCAGCGGGCGGCCAAGGCCTGCACGCGGCGGGGGCGGCGAGAGGACCCCGAGCGGCGCGTGAGCGGTGGCCGTTCTCCCTGCGCGCTGCAGCCCTGCAGGCGCCGACTGGAAGTGGGGGGCCGCGGCGCTCTGGCGCGGGGGCGGGAGGGGGTGTTGTGGGGACGGACGGCGTGTGTGCGCGGCGGCGCGCGAACTTGTGCGGCCTGGGCGGTGGAGGGGGACCGGACGCGAGGATCTGCGGTGGACTCTCCGCAGCTCGCCCCCGCGCGGCCCGTACCTCCCGCAACTGCGTGTGCAGTGCAGCCCGCCGTGTTTGTGCAGCGACGCAGCTCGCGCGCGGCCCCCGCCCACCCGGGCGCGGCCCCGGCTGGAAAACCCTCTCCGGCTGCCGGGCCTGCCGTGGCGGCGGTGGCGGTGGTGACCGAGGCTAGCAATACGGCTTCTCCTCCGCCAGAGCGAAACGTGCTGTCCGCCGGGAGCGGCTGGCGTGACGGTCGGAGCCCAGGCCATGGAGGCGTAGGGAGAGGCTCGCGAGCTCTGGGAACGGGGCACAGGAACCCCCTTGTCCTCCGCCAACGTGCACGGGAAAGTGGATGAGGAGCTTGGGGACCAGGTTGCAGAGGCGGTATGGAACTGGGGCAAGTGCAGCCGAGGCCTAGGCTGGAGCATTGGGCGCGCGACGTTGGGTAGGCTCACCCTGAGCGCCCCCGCGCTGCGGGCGCGCCTCGGACCTGTCATTCTTCTCGGCCGCCCCAACACGCCCGCGCAGCTGCGGCCCGGTGCAGTGTGCCCAGGTGCCTGTCGGGAACCCGGGGTCCGTAGGCCCTACAACACACTGCGGGTATGGTGGGGTTTATTCACCACTCCCACCACACCGCAAGCCCAGCTCACTCAGGGGAATGTGTGCATCAGGTTGTCCCTTTGAGGGCCCCCAACAAGGCTCCTGGGTTAGAGCCCAGGGCAGATAAAGGACCTGGCGCGCCCCGGGGCTTTTCAGCCTCAATCCCAAGGCATGTAGCCCTAGAACAGACACCTGCCACCCAGAAGGGAGCTTCTTGGCCCCCTCCCCCATAACCCAGTGTGAACCGGTGGAGGAGAAATGGAAGGGGAAGTTTCTTGGCCCGTTTAAAACTTTGTTGGTCTCAACTTTCGTGGCTATTTCCTGCTTGCGCCAGACTACGTCAGACCGAGTTCCAGGCTATGGAGCCTTGCTCACGCGGTGGCAGCATAGGGAAGAGCTGGTTGGCCCTGGCTGGCTCTGCAGGCCGCTCGCGCACGTGTGTGCCCGGGGGATCCCCGCTGGCAGCGGGCGGCTGGTGGGGGGGCGGGGGTACTTGTAGGAGGAGGGGGAGGGACGCCTGGTTGCTCCAGCCGAGAGAGCCTGGCTCTCCCGGACCCTGCTGGACCCTGCTGGCAGGGAAGGCGCGGCTCCATGGTCCTTTAGAATCAGAGACGTGCACCCCTGCCCTGCAGGTGCCAGATGGATTCCAGAACACCGCGAAAGGAGAAACCTTCCCAGGGGACGAATGTAGGAGGCCTCTTGCCTGCTGCTCTGCAGAGTGAATAATTCGGGTGTAAACATTCAATTACTGTGATAAAGCAACTCGGCTGGTGGGTCGGATCCAGTCTCAGCTCTGATCAGATTGGCCCCCGGCTAGGGTCTAGGGTCTGCGAGCTTCCAGAGGGACCAGGGTTGAAGAACTAGGACAGTGACCCTCTTGCCCTCTCCTCCTCCCCTGTCATGCAGCCTGCCCTGGGGACCGCCTGCAGGGTCCCAGTGTGGCTTCAGCCCTGGGCAGAACCTACCTGTTCTCCCAATTGCTCTGGGAGCCCTTCACCCCTTCCCCTGGGGAAGGGGGGGGGTGGGATCTAAGCTGGCCCCAGTGTTTAAGCCTCCGGGCTGCTGCTTTCAGTACTTCCATGTTTGTATGTTGGGTGGGGGTGGGGGACAACATGCAATGGAGAGTTTCCTGTGGCTGCAGAAAGGCTGCCTCGTGGAGAAAGTTGTGTCCTGGCCTAGACAGGATGTGGGGAGTTTGGTCCAGGAACCTTGGCTCCTTGGTGGGCTGGGATGGTCCCAAGTGGCTGGACAGTTCCTGCTTGGTGGTCTGGTCCTGTGTCACCCATGTAAAAGCCTCCACCTTTTGCTCAGCACCCATTTCTTTGTGCACTTGCCGTGTCACAGCTGCAACCAGTCTCTCCCCCAGGGAGATTTGCTACAAGGGTTTAGCCAGTCCCTTCCTCATCGGCTCCAGTGTCCGTTCTGGGTTGTTCTTCAGTGCCCAGTACCTGTTTATTAGTGTGAGTTCATGAGCAGGTGAATGTCAGGGAGCAAATGCAAGACAACAAGGCAGCCTCAGCCCTATCGGCCCTGGTTGCTGGGACCTCGTCACACGTCACCACTGGTTTCTAATGGGCAGGCTGCCATGCATGGGTGAGTGTGGCGTTGGTGGTCCCTGGCACTGTGCCTTCAGGTGTGTGTATGTGTATCTCCTGGTCATCCTGACCCCATGGGGTCCTTAGGGTGAGATTTGAGAACCTCCACTTTCTCTGGACCAGGCTTGGTTGACACCTTGCCTCTGTGTGTGTATGTATGTGTGTGTGCAGCTTCACCTGGGAGGCTCCTGCCTGCCTCAACTCACAGCAAGCTGCAGTGCACAGGACGGCTTACTGGGCATGTCAGCTCTCCACAGGATGCCGGGCTGGTCCTAGGTGGAGCATGCCGGAGCTCCCGGTCCTTTCCAACCCGGAGGCTGGGAGGCCGTGAGCTCATTTCGTGAATCAGAGGCATTACTGCCTAACCTGTGTTTTGGAAGCTGGTTCCCCACCCTCCCCCAGGGCGCACACATGTTCGGGGGGCCTCCAGTCCTTCCTTCCAGCCTAAGGTGCACATGTGCACGGGGCTCACAATGACACGCTTGGGAGCAAAAGCAAGGGGGGAAGGGGTGCAGTTGAGATGCCAGAGCCATCCAGCAAATTGTCCACACCCCATTTCCACCCCTACACTCAGAGCACCATTCCCAGGTGGTGTGTGGACGGTCCCCTCCCTGGGCAGTGAGTCTAAAATGCATGGACGTGAGATCTAGCCAGACTCAAGCCCAGGACTCCAGCTTCTCTACCTGGGCCATTGCTTAACTTGCTCAGCCTCACTTTTCTCAGTTGTCTAATGGGGATGGTAGCACTACTTCCTAGGGTTGCTGGACAGGTTCAGCAAGGTTGTGCATAACAGCACATAGTAGGAACTCCACAGGTGGTGACTGTCACTTTACCAGTGTCCACCAGCTCCAGCCCCAAGCTGCCTTCTGCTCTTTACTGGGCAGCAGAAATGAAGGGTGTCCTGCTTGTGGGAGGAAAACAGTCTCCTGGGCCACCAGGGGCCCCCGTGAATGCAGCTCATTTTGTAGCCGCCCCTGTACCCTGTACATGACTGTGGGGTCCACTGCCTGCCGCACAGGCTCAGATCCTTGAGCTAACCTTCAGTGCGAGGGTATGATGCTGCAGACGGTGCAAGAGGAAGGCTTTCCCAGAGATCACCTGTATTCTCAAGAACCTGCCCGCCCAGGCCCCCCAGGGGCTCCCGTGGGTGGGCGGACTGGAGGCCGCTTTTCCCAGCCCAGGAAAAAGTTCTCTTTGTGTCTTTGCTTCACAGCAGTCTTCCCAGGGTGACCTCAGCAAAGCTTTGGGTGGGGTTGGAGGTGGAAGCCAGACTTCCAAGGACCCTTGGGCTCTTTGAAACCAATGGAAATCCAAGCAAGGGCTGGGGGCAGTGTGTGGTGGGGGAGCACCTGTGTTATGTAAGAAGCAAGTGGCCACATGTCCAGGAGAGCTGACGGTTTGCTGGGCTAAGGGGTCTCCCTATGGTGAGTGGAGACTGGCAGGGAGGAGTGAAACCGAGGGGGCAGCCCAAGGCTTTCTTAGTGTTGGCTCTTGCCCTTGCTTTTCCTGGAACACGGCCTCAGGCTGCGGCCAGCAGGCCAAGGTGCTCCCTGTTCGTTCCCTCTGCCTCCCCCCACCTCCCCCGAGCTGGCGGTGCATTGAGCTGGCGGTGAGAGCGTTTTTTCCAGGCAGCCGTTGCTTGCTTCCAGGAGCCTTGGGAAGGGGGAAGGGAGCCACGGGGCAGGGTTTATCCCGCTTATATGTACACTGGGCTTGCAGCCCAAACAGGGTTCCCTCATCTTTGGAAATGGGGTCCAGGGCTGAAGGGGAGTGGGGAGGGATGTTGAGTCCTAGTTTTTCCTGGAAGTTGGGCCATCAGGACCCCTGGTCGTATGTAGCCTGTTGTTACCAGCTCTTTAGAAAAGACTCAAAAGGGAGCTTGATAGCTTGCAGCCCTGACTGTGGGCTAGAGCTGGCTGTTCCCATAGCCTCTGCTGGCAGCAGCTTCCCAGCAAACCCCTGGCTGCCGTGGACCAGCTGACCTTGCTCTGTCTGAGGCCCCATCTGGCCGCAGGTCATAGTCCTGGCTCTTCAGCTCCCAGGAAACCTGCCTGGCGCCTTCAGCTCCTTCACTTTCAAATGGGGAAGCTGAGAGGCGGAAGAAGCATTGCTTGCAGTTCCCCTGTTGATTGTGTCTGCTTTCACCTTGGGAGGGTGGCAACAGGGGCTGCCTTGGGCTGCCAGTGGCAGTGGGTGCCGGCCCCTAGTACTGTGGATGTCTGCTTCAGGCCAGAAGGAACGTGGAGGAGCACTGTCTCAGCTCCTGGGTGTGGCTCCATGTTCTCTGTGGCTCCCTAGTTATTTATTTGTGTGTGTGTGTGTGTGAGAGAGAGTGAGTTCCGCGGTCGGGAGGCTGGCGCTGAGCGAAAGCAGAAGTGCCCGCGCTGTGCGTCAGCTCATGGGGACAGAAGCGAGAGGAAGAGGGGGGCCAAGGCCCCTCTGCACCAGCGGCTGCCGGCGCTCTTTCCGTGTCCCCTGCTGCGACGCCTGCACACTTGCGTGTCAACAGCCCTTCCTTTCACACTGCTCACAGCTGCCTTTCCTTGCCG